ATATCTTGCCATCATCATCTTTTCGAATTCATCCGATTTTTTTCGCTTTTTCCCAGCGACTTTTCCTAACGAATCTCCCATTCGAACAAACTTTCGACCGGTCCTTCACTCACTTTTTTCTTCTTTTTTCATTCGATTTTCTCCCTCTTCTTCTTTAAAAATGAAAAGCGTCGAATGGTGTTCAATGGAACGAAGAAGCAGAAAGAAAATAAAGGAAAGGGAAAATGAAAAGTGGTAGTAATGACTTTAGGATTCTTAGGTTTTCAGATAAAAGTTCTACACCTCTCAAACTGTGGGTGTTTGAAGTTCTGAGATTCCGGAATGGAATGCGGTCNNACACGTAGNNCCTTCGAAAATTCAATTTCTGACATTAAAATATACTTTTTTCAAAATCGAAGAACTTGGAATTCTGATTTTCTGACGTTATCAGAGGCTGCGAAATGTCTGGCTGCGAAATATCCGGCTGCGAAATGTCTGGCTGCGAAATGTCTGGCTGCGAAATCTCCGGCTACGAAATGTCGCCGCTGCGAAATGTCCGGTTGCCAAATGTCCGGGAGCCGTCGTTGAAATTTTCTAATGCAGTCGAATCTGAAGAAAGAGCAAATATGACATTTTTTATTGGATTTTATGATTTTTACTGTGTGGTTTTCGATCTTCCAGAAAGTCATGAAATCGTCCAGCTATTTTTTTTCTGAAAAGATAAAGTTACTGTATTTGCTTTGATAGAAGCCCACTTTACGTGCATTTTAGCTCAATAATCTCCCTGCCTCCAAACGATATACAAAACTTTTCAACTGATAAAGTTTTCATCATAGTATCATCAATATTTTATCAGTCGACCTACTTTTGATATATCTCATAGGAACTAAGATAAATAAGCTAAAAATGAATGTATCAGACGGGCTACTATTGGAAAGGAAACGGTATTAAATCGTTTAATTACGAGGTCACTTCAGATAGAAAGGGCTTTTTTTGGCCATTTTTTGGCCATTTTTTATCGTAATTTTCAATAAATAGTACAATTCATAAACCAAGATTAAGCAAGTTTTTGAGCAAAATGGATTTTTTCAACAACAAAATTTCTGGAAAATTCTTTCATGGAAACGTACGAAAAAAACGTACGAAAAATTTTCAATAGAGGATCCTTCTATTTTCTGAGTCCCTTCTGGTGAAAAAGCCCTTTCAACACAGGTTTTACAATATTCAGCTTCGTTTCACATTCTTGATGGTAATGACATAAATAGTGATTTCTGTTATGAATACGTTTTGCCATTTAAAATTCGATTCTTTTTTAACAAGAGGTTTCAAAAAAATCACACGTTCCAAGAACCCTGAAAAATAACAGCACAGGATATAGGAATTTGAAAATCTTTCAATTCTGAATGTGAGTTTTTTTTGGTTAAAAAAATAGAAATTCTTCTCAAAAAAATTTATCGAGATCTATTTAGTGTGGCAATTGGAGAGGAGAATTCATGGGGATCGTTTCTTAACAAAAAATAATGGTGGCAAATAATGGGAGAGGTTGAGCCAGAAAAAAAATATTTTTTACAAAAGCAAAACTGGGTGGAAATTATGTTAATTTTGGGTGGTCCTAGAAAATAAAAAAAATCTTTAAAATTCTCAGAAAAGCAAAAAAGTTGCTGGTCAGAGACTATGGATCACAGGATAGAGTCATAAAAGACGATGGGTCGCGAGAATTGGGGACACGGTTAAGAAAAGACATTACCGATTTTCGGAAATCAAGAATCTGGGTAAAAAACGTGTCACAAATCGATAACATTGACGAAAATCGATGCATTTGACCAAAAAAAGTGAATTGTATGTTTAAGTGAACAATTAAAAAGGCGACTCAGGGACTATGAAAAGGGACGGGTAATAAAATACGGCGAATTGGGTAGAAATGCCTTTCGAAGAAGCATCGAGCAAAATTGAAAAAGATAGATCACGGAACAATTTTCACAACGGTAGAGCATAAAATACTCAGAAAAACGTGGTGATCATGTTGAGAGACTTCACTGGTCCTGTTGGTTTTCTTCTTCGGGGATTCCTTGCACAAAGTCATCATATATTTTGCTCAACGTCTGGATATTCTTATAGATGACAAAAATCTGCTTTCGCTTGTGCCCATCAATGGATTTGTAAATGCAAATGAGATGAGAAACAAACAGAATAGCCTACTTGATGGGACATTTGAGGCAGAAAATCTCGTCTTCCTTCATTTTATTGTTGATTCGAAGCATCTTAACGATGTTGAAGACTTCCTGCTCGCAGGTATGACAACGGTAAAGATACTGCTCCGCATGACCAGTCCAATCAAGGAGTTCAAATCCCTTCTCTTTGATCCACTTTACGTAACCAATGCACCACGCAAGGCTCCTGAAAAAAGTAGATTAATTGCTTATCTGATTTGTTTGCTGTGATCATACCTTTGCATGTGCCACCGCATACATTTGTACATCAACTTGTCGTCTTTGAACATTTGTTCTTTGGCGGCATTCCAGATAACAGTGGTGATTGGGATATGGCACTCGTGGTTGCAGTCCGTATTGTGTGATGCGGAAATGAGGGAAGCGGCGAGCTGGTTGAAATTGGCTGGGCCCACGTTCCAAGAGACGTTGGTGCAATAGCCCTCCGACTTAACCCAATGGAAAGTGCCAGTATTGACGTAGACCAGCTCGTCCTTCTTTTGCTCAAACTTAATCAACGGGATATTCGCTTCATGGATGTCTTCTTCACTTGGCCAATAGTTCTGCTCATGGTACTTCTGCCGCATCGACCCAACTAATGTCTCGAGCTTTGTCCAGTATTCGTACGGAATCGCATACCAGATGGAAGTTCCGGGTCCAACATTCCAGTTGATACTTGCCATTAACGAATTTTCCATGTGAGCGGCAGTAAACGAGCCGATAAACTTGGAATACATCTGCACCGTGTTGACACCGAACACGTTTTGGCCGATATGAGCCAGCAAGTTGCCTTTGTCACTGGCTTGCATGAACCAGGGAAGTTGGGACAGAATCTGAAAACACTTGTTTTTGAAGTTTTTTTTCGGAAATTGGATTTTGATCTTTTAGTGTACTTATTTCAGAAATTGGATTTTGATCTTTTAGTGTACTTATTGTAAAAAAATAATTTTATGAAATTGGAAAAATACTGTGAACTTTTTTTTGAGAGCCTAATTCTGCTTCCCAAAAAATTATTTTAAAGTTACACCAATATAACTGAACAAGCATTTTCTTTATCAGGAAAAATTCAAGTAAGTCGAAAACTCTAATATTCAAGACCGTTGTCATTGTGAAAAACTCACATCTAATTGCTCTTTGAAATAATCCTCGTCTTTGTCTAGATTCTGGGAGTTCTCTGCTTCCTCATTAAGATCAATGTTTGTCGCAAATGGTGTCCAGGAATATTGTTTCTCCACTCCTTCAAACCGATACGGTGCCTTGATTCCGTTCTGCATGAAATCTTGGGCTATGGCAGGAGCTTGTTTTGGGTCGCACTTTTTGAGAATATTGAGCACTGAAAGAATGTTTTTAGATTCTTCAAACAGAGAAAAAATCTTACGTTTCCTGCTTGCTTCCTGCTCGTTGGTTTTCCAGTTTTCGAATTGTGATAGCTTCATACGACAATAACGCCCTCGGTCCTCCATTCCTTTTTTCCATTAAGAGAAATGTTCTGGTCAACAGGTTGAGCGATTTACAAGATCACGTCACAAATGAGATTCGGAACGTTTTCTGCCAGACGTTGACTTGTCAGTTTTTCGAGATCAATTCCAAGAGCTTCACCGACTCCAGAGAGAACCGAAATTGGATTAGAATCGAGCAACTTCTTCAACTTTTGAGAATGAAGATCGGCTTTAGTGTTGATCTCAACGTGAATCGCTGGCACTCGATTTTTCTTGCTTGCAAGCTTTGCCATATCCTTTCTGAACCGCTTCTGCTCAGCCGCTACTAGTTCACGGTCGGGCTCTAGTCCTTTGATTTCCAGAGGAGTATAGATCTAGTTGTTGTCGCCACGGGACTCAGCAACTAATGCAGCGATTTGGGTAGAGGTGAGAGTGTACGCTTGATGGTTGATAGCAGTAGTCGGAAGTTGATGAAAATGTTCTTCCGTGGGAGCTTGTCTATCCTTCTCGCTTCTTGGCAATGGTGATTGGGGTACTTGTTGCATCGTGTGCCACATCAGATATTCTTGACAGTGTCGAAAGTTATCGACATCGAAAGCTCGGTATGTGTCAAGGTCTACAGTTGTTCTCAAATAGCACGGATCGATTGCGCTCTGAAATTAAAAAAAAGAATTATTTTAGAAAACGTTGCTTTGTTTTATACTTACCGTGTGTGATTTGAGGAATGTGGTCACGTTTCGTCTTTGTTTCTCATTATCATAAGTACACTGCAGCTCTCCACTGGCGAATCGCACCATTCCGTTTGCTGTGTACGCCGCTGATTGTGCCGCAAGCTTCTTCATAACCTCATCCGGGTTTTCTTGAATTTTTCCCACAAAGACATCAATTTTGTTCTTTCCATCATTTTTTTGGTACTCCGTTGCTGCGTCGTTTTCAACAGGCCCCCATTCAAAATCATGCTTCTCCATATCAAACACTTTGACCGTCTTTTTCGCTGCGCGCGGTAATGTCAACTTCGATTTCCTTTTTCGGGTCTTTCTTTTCTTGACACTAACAGAACCTTCCTCGGGATCTAGATTGGGCTCTGTTTCACTGACGTCCTCTTCTTGTTGATCACTGTCTTCTTCTGGCAATGCATCAAGCTCATCATGATGATCTTCGAAATGATCACTATCGATAGCCTGTTGATCATGACGATGTTCATGGGGTCTGTGATCAGAAGAATCCTCTGTTGGTTCATCCGCAACTTCTTCATTGACTAGGATATTGTTAGCCTCTTCAGGGATTGCGGAGTTGCTTTTGGTATGGTTTGAAGTAGCTCCTCGAGACCTGTCATCCCGTTCAATCGACTTTTGGTCTGAAAAATAATTCGATGAGAAATGCAAACTCATACTTTGTATTAGACTGATTCAATCGCCTTCGGACATTTTGGGATGGAAGTTGAAAGTTAAGCTCCGTAATTTGAGATTGCTAGTAGTATTACGTTTGGTTAAGACCAAAGATAATGCTTTTTGCTCAACATGTTCTGTTTTGGAAAAATAATCTTTTTAGCAAAATTTGAGAATATTGAATTGATTGCTTTTGTCAGCCAAAATAATATTAGTTTTGAACACAAGTCTCATTTTTCTTGTTGTCGTAGAATTTTTAGATATTCAGTCTTTTGAGGTCTAATTTGATTAAGGTATCGTCCAAACGGGTTACAGTACATTATTAGTTAACAAATTACAAAAAGAACATCTCTTCTATTAAAATATCTGTTTTCTCATTACAGTGGCTTCCCAAATTTTAAGACTAATTGAATGCTCGGGGCACTCCAAAATTGCAAAAAGAAAAGATTTTCAAGTAAAGGTTTTCAATCAAGACTGTGGTGAATGAAATTGAAAAAATTGAATGCATTGCTTCCAAACTCGCTTATGACGTTTTGAAGATTTTACGAAATTTGGGCCAGGAACTTATGAATCAATCTAATACTAATAATGTAAACTCACTCTCAGCTTGTTTCTCTGCTTGAGCTCTATCTGCTTGAGTATCCATCGGGTAGTCGAATTCATAACTTGGAATGGAAACACGACTGTCGCGGTCGTCGGCATCATGGCGTTTCTGGAATTTTGACGATGTCTGCTCCATTTCATTTGACGGAGCACGTTGTCGCTTGACTCCTGTTTTGGATTGTTCAGTATTCCCTGAACAGGTATTGATTGTATTGGGGTGCAACAAACTAAAGAATTACCTTCGAGTGTCTTATCAACGTGAGGCGCCAGTTGTAAATCCTCAAAAACAGCTTCAGCGATGTTAGCCAATGAAGTGGTTTGTCCTTCTTCTTGCTCTCTGGATTCCTTCTGTTGACTTCCATTCACATTTGATTCCGGGGTCGGAATAATTTTAACATCTGTGCCTGGAGAGGATAGTACAACTACTTCTGGTGTTGCCACAGAATTATTGAGAGCACGTGTCGATGATGTTGGCCGCGCATCAGATTTCTCTTGAAATTCTTGAGAAGTAGACTGGAGAGTTTTGGTGACTTCGGATGTCTCCGCATTCGAACCGATCTTCTTGATTGCAATGACGATTTCGTTCATATGCTCTTCAATCTTCTGATTCTGAGTATCCATCAGCTTCCTCAGCATAGCTTCATCCGAAATCGTCTTTGCTTCCAACTGTTTTTTGATAAATTGGATATCAGAAATTGACTGGTTAAGAGTATTTTCCATGCTCAAATACTTTTCTTGAAAATTATTGGAATCAAACTTTTTGATGTGTTTTTTGATGGCTTCAAAATCGGAGTTTCACTTGGCGACAGTTTCTTCCAAACTCGACTGATTCTTCAAAATGTTGTTTGAATTCTCAAGAAGTTGCGCTAACATCGACTCCATTGATCCGGTCCTGGTATTGATTGAATTGACATCAGACGACACGGTTGACATCTCGCCATTCAGCTTCTCAACGTTATCCGAAAGTTTCGTGATGGAGATTTGCTTCTGCACGTCATCCATCAAAGTTTTTCCCGTGTTCTGACACATTTCCAATGCTTTCTGCATCTGTTCCAGCTGTTGGATTTGCGTCATTAGCTGGCTCGTCGATCCGGAAGGCGGCTGTGACATGCTTGGAGTTGGATTGTCCATCACAATGGAATGCGAACAGCAAAATTCAGGTTAAAAATACTTGACCAGTAGATTAGAGATCCAAAGATGAGCAGTGCTGAAATTTTATGAAATCCAAGTTCCGATTACTTTGAGAACGGATGTTTCGTTGTGAAAATAGTAAAAGAAAAAAGGAGGGAAAAGAGAAAAAAACGAATACTGTGATGAATTTTTCACAATATTTTACTTGGAACGAAACAATCTATACCGAAAAGAGCGAGAAAAGCAAAAAAGAACTGAATAGAAAGACAACGCAATAGACATAGAAAGATGACTTAATAGGATGAGGAAAACAAATCAATAAGAAAAATAGGTGTACTAAATGAGACTACATTTTGGTTGTTACCCTAGATGTCTGCGCGGTGTAGAGAGATCACCAAGAATAGTGCTCCTGGGAAGGTCAAAAGAGATCGTCATCATTGTTCTTGTAAACAAATGGAGTGGGGCCTCTTTTTCCTCTCAGCGTGCCTCTCCGGTTTCCCAAAGGCACGGTCGGCCTCCGCATTTTGGAAAGGGGCCAAAAATTAGTCGGAAAAAGTACAAGTTTAACGGCAGGATATTTCTCCTCTGCGCTACCGTGCACAAGTCCGGAAAGAAAAGAAACAAGAGAGAAGAGACGGAGAGGGAAAGGCGGAAACTCGGAACGAAATCACTGAATTCAAGACGATATCAGTGAAGAATGCGAGACGAAAGAAGACAACAAAGAAGACAGATTTTTATAAGCACAATCGGTTTATTAAACTGGGAAATCAAGGCAAAAATAAGGGACGGTAACAGTGAAGGCAAGGGGAAATTTAAAAGGCAAGGGGTAACTGGAAACAGGGAAAAATGAGCACAAAGCTCTGAAAATCGGCAACAAAAAGGTAACAAAAAGGTAGCCAATGAAACTGTCGAAGAGGATGCAGGGATTCACCAAAAGGGTGCTCTTCTCCGAACAAGAATGATTGAAAAACGGGGCCGGAAAGCAATTTCACAGATTTCCCGCCTAAACTTTAGCGCCGACAGAGCGCATTTCCATTGGTTACGGCGGAATATTCAAATTACGAATATTTAGAGACTTTAAAGGCTTATTCAGAGAAGAACCGGATGAGAATCTGACACATTTTGAAGTACGAAATTTACCCAGGTCCCTTCTTAAAGCTGAAAACAAAGAATTTTTTTTTAAATTTTCAGAAGACTTCAGTTTTTTCTTAAAAAACGTCTTTCACAAAATTGTGCCTCCAAAACCCGAATTCAATTCAGAAGTACAAAAAATACAACATGCTAAAAAATTTTGTACCTCCGAATCATGGATTTTGTACCTCTAAATCACTTTGTACCCCCTTGTACGCCCGAATTGTTGTACCTCCCGAATTTTTAGCCTTGGATAGGTCATTTCTGGGATCGGCAGGATTGGCGGCCAAGCGACCCTAGTAGCTTCTGAGTATATCTCTAGACGTAAGTATGTTGGAAGCACGAAAATTGGCAGAAAACTTTCGAAGCGTTTTATCTAACTTCAGTATTTCTATGATTTCCCAAAGATGAACGTCGTAATGTTTCTTGTACGCCACTGATTCGAATTGATGTAAGTCTATGCCAGACGGTACGATTCCTCTGAAATTCCGCGAGAAGAAATAAGCATATAATTATTGTTTTCACACAATATTTACCGTTGTTTGGATGCATCTGTCCATAGAAATAAATTTAATAGTTAACCCTACATTTTGCCTCGAGCTCGGGCTAAATTTGCCTTCCGAACCGAATTTTTATCGTAATGCGTTGACAGGGCAACAAAAATTTTTAAAAATTTTTGATGCACTTTAAATGAAAATTTGACGATCACCCAAAAGTCATGAATTTTAAGTCGTTAGATCAATTCATTTCAAAAATTAGAAAATTTTCTAAATTTGGCTCTTCGGAAAACTGATGCCTACCAATTTGATTATTTTCGTAGACATCTAAAATTTTTACAGACGATTGTGGAAAAGTTGATCTTGACACCCATAATTTTTCAGCCATTCACTATTATTACTACAGTTTTTATGGGTAGACAAAGTCGAACTAAAAAGAAAGACAAGCCGCGTGAATTCCAAAGTTTATGTTTTTAGTGACCACAGTACGAGTACCTTGGTGGTTAAAATATTTTCAAAACTATGAAAAATGATAGAAGAGTATTGTATCCTCACATTTCAGACAGAAATACTACCAGAGACCTTGTTAGACTTCCGTTAAAACATATTTCATCTGCACTAAAATAACCATTTTTATGTTTTTATAAGATTTTCTTGAGATGGAGCATTTTTGAAAGCGATAACTCAGCTCAATGGTGATCAAATAACTTGAAACTGATGCATTGTTGTAAACAACTCAGCACTTTGCCGAACGTTTTTGGAATCATTAGTAGGACTGGGCACCGTCTTGTGGATCGAAATCCACTGTTCTGGACTTAGACGCTAATTTTCCTATATACCTCGGCAATGCTTTGAGGCCTGCTAACTCCACGGATTTCAATCCAATGGATTTTGATGTGTGGAAACTTTTGTAAAGAATTTTTTTTTACTTTTGTAATGAATTTTTTTTTACTTTTGTAATGAATTTTTTTCAATAAATTTTTACTCGGACCGCGACAATCTATACCAAAAAGAGCGGGAAAAGATCGAAAAAAAAACGAGGTAAAAAACATAATAGAGAGACAAATCAATAAGAATGCTAGGAGTACTGAATGAGACTACATTGTAGACGGGACCAATTAAGACGTCAGAATAGCATAGGAAAAATAAGAAAATTAGCGCTCTCGGGTAGGTCAAAAGAGACAATCACCCACTATTTTTTTAATAAACAAATATAATGTGTATTAGACTACAATGTGGTTGTTACCTATCTAGATCTGAGTGGTGTAGGAAGAACACCAAGAATAGTGCTCTTCGGAAGGTCAAAAGAGATAATCATCTTTTTTTTAATAGTAAACAAGTGGAGTGGGGTTTCTTTTCTTTTCAGCGTGTCTCTCCGGTTTCACAAAGACGCGGTTGACCTCAGCATTTTGGATAAGAATGAATTGAACACTTTCCGGAAATGTCTATATTTAAATCAAAATTTCCACAGGATCGTCGTTCTGTCATAACTCTCACACTCTCCGCTCTCTCACCTATGGACGACAACTGCGCTTGCGCAATAATGAAATGTGTGCATCTTCTCGTCACAACAGAAGAACATTCGTTTGCAAAAACTGCGAAGTCGAGCGACGGATTGGCGCTATAGGCGCACTATCCACTTATTCAAAATACGCGGCTTGTGAAATCTGATAGACATGGTCCCGGGTACTTTTTCATTCGAAAATTGATCTAAAATTTTTAATACATATTTTGAACTCTGAGAAAAAGAAGCACGCTATTTAAAATAAATTAGAAAGTCTTCTGGTTATAATCAAACTTTTTTAAATGAATAACAAAAACCAATTATTTCTTCTCGAAAAAAATTTATTGAGATATTTTTGTGACAATTGGATAGCTTATGTGTGAGGGCTGCTTCTTATAAACAAAAACGATGGAGGTAAACAGTTGGAGAGAATCGAGGACATAAAAAATGGTACGCGCTTTTTGAAAATAGAGATGTCGATGAACAATTTGTAAGAACTACGAAAATGGATATTTTTGACCGACAGAAATCAGAAAACCATTAAAATTGCTCTTCAGATATAGTGGATAGCGGGGATCATGAGAAACAATGAGTGGTAAATAGTAAAAGAGAATCGGGGGAAAAGTCATGAACAATTCACACGTTTTTGGAAATTTGTGAACTTTGGTGAAAACATTTTTGGAATGAAGAAACGAATATTTTAGCTCACAATGTTGGAAATGGAATCTCAGATAAACAAGCGAAATTGCTTTTCAGAGACTGTGAAAAGAGACGGATCAGAAAATACGATTAAATGGGTAAAAATACTTTTCGAAGAAGCGTCGACAAAATGGAGAAGAGAAAGGTCATAGAGCAAGTTTCGGGACGGTAGACAGTCAAAAAAAGCGATGTTGTGAGCATGTCGGGAAAAATTTATTGATCCTGTTGAATTCCTTCTTCAGGGATTTCCCGAACAAAGCTATCATAAATCTTTCTTAACTTTGCAACGTTCTTGTAGATAACAAACAGCTGCCTTTTGTTTTTCCTCGAAACACTGTAAATGCAGATTAAAGGAGAAAAAAAACAGAATATCCTACTTGATTTTGCAAATTGGGCAGAAGATTATGTCCTTTGACTTGTCATTTCCGGTCCGGAGCACTTTGCAAATGTTAAACACCTCCTGTTTGCAGGTACCACATCGGTAAATATACTCAGCCTCCCGATCAGTCCAATCTTCGAATTCATAGCCGTTGGACTCGATCCATGCAATGTATCGGATGCACCATGCAAGGCTCCTTAAAAAGGCTAATTGCGTTATGATTTTGTTTACTGTTATCTTACCTTTGCATGTGCCATCTCATACAACTGTACATTAGCGGCTCGTCCATGAACATCCTCTCCTCGGCGGCATTCCAGATCACATTAGTGATTGGGATGTGGCATTCGTGTCTGGAAGTCCTATTGTGAGCTGCGGAGATGAGTGATGCGGCGAGTTGGTTGAAATTAGCTGGTCCCACATTCCAGCTAACGTTCGTACAGTATCCCTCTGCCTGGACCCAGTGGAAAGTGCCGGTGTTGACATAAACCAACTCGTCCTCCCTTTGCTCGAATTTTATCAATGGGATTCCAGCTTTCTTGATATCTTCCTCACTGGGCCAATAGTTTTGGTGGTGATACTTCTGACCTTTCTCCTTCACTAATTTCTCCAGCTGCGTCCAGTATTCATAAGGAATGGCGTACCAGATGCAAGACGCTGGACCGACATTCCAATTTATGCTGGCCATCAACGAGTTCTCCATGTGAGCCGCAGTCAAACTTCCAATGAATTTGGAGTACATCTGAACCGTGTTGACTCCAAACACGTTTGAATGAATGTGAGCCAGCAAATTGCTCCTGTCAGTGGCTTGCATGAACGCGGGAAGTTGATTAAGAATCTGAAAACAGTTGCATTTGACGTTTTATGAAATTGTAATCCAAACATTTGAAGTATTTTATGAAATTGTAATCTTAACTTATTTATAATATACAGTACTGGGGAGGAAGATATGCAAAAACGTATTTTTTTCAGTTGATGTTTTTTCTGTATTGTGTTATTGACATCTTTCCTTTGGTCAATTCGAATGAATATCAAATGTTTGAGGAGCCTAGAGCTCGTCTGTCAAGTTTCCGATTATTTTGAAAATATAGGAAGGTGTAAAACAGACCTAGATTGGAAACTTTAAATTCGCAATATTTTATGAAAATTGTTATTTTTTCAGCTATTTACCGATTTCTAAAGGACACATGTTTTTTCACGTCTCCAGTGCAAAAACAGGTAAAAAATTGGTTTCTTCCAGAAATCGGCGAATAGGTGAAAAATTGGATATTTTGAAAAAATTCTATGAAATGCCAAGTCTTCAATCTATGACTGTTTTACATCCACCAACATATTCATTCAAAGTGATCGGACACTTGACATCCGAGCTTCAGGATTTTGAACGTGGTCAGAACAAACTGGAAAAGACGCGTTTGTATATTTTTTTTTCAAATCTGAATGTATATAATACTACACTAGAGCTTTTGTTTCGATTTTTAAAAGGATTTCTCAAAAATCGAATACTCTAATATTCAATGCCGCTGTCAAACTGTAAAACTAACATCTGTCTGCTCTTTGAAGTGATCCTTGCCTTCTTGTAGATCCCTGGAGTTATCAGCATCTTTGGTGAGATCGATGTTCGTGGCGAATGGTGTCCATGAATACTCTTTCTCTTCTCCTTCAAACGAATACGGTGCCTTGATTCTTTTCTTCATGAAGTCCTGGACCATGGCAGGAGCATGTTTTGGATCGCATTTTTTGAGAAGACTGAGAACTGAAAAAAAATAATTAGATTGATGAAACAAAGAAAGAAAGAACTAACGTTTCCTGGCTGCTTTCTGCTCGTTCCGTTTCCATTCCTCAAATTGTGCCGACGTCATACTACAATATTTCCTTTGGGTCTCCCATTCCTTCATTCCATAGATAGTAATGTTCTGGTGCACAGGCTGTGCAACTTGCAGCATTACATCAACAATAAGATTTGGAACGGTTGCCGCCAAGCGTTCACTTGTCAGTGTCTTCAGGTCAATACCAAGAGCTTTACCGACTCCAGATAGAACCGAGATTGGAGAAGAATCGAGCACTTTTTTTAAATTCGGAGAATGCAGATCTTCTTTAGTTTTAATCTCAACGTGAATCGCTGGCAGTCGATGCCTCTTGCTTGCAAGCTCCGGATTATCATTTTTGAACAGCTCCTGCTCTGCCGCCACAAGTTCACGGTTGGGTTCGAGTTTTTGAATGTTCATCGGGGTATAAATCTGATCGAACTTTCCATGTGACTCCATTGCTAATGCAGCAACATCGGCCGAATTGAGAGTAAAAGACTGATGGTTTACTGCAGTAGTCGGTAGACGAGGAAAATATTTTTCCGGTGTAACTGGTCCATTCTTGTCATTCATGGGCAATGGCGGTTTGGTTACTTCTTGGACGGTGTGCGTCTCAAAATAGTGTTGACAATATCGAAAGTCTTCGGAATCGAGAGCTTTATATGTTTCCGGGTCCACAGTAGTTCTCCAATATCCCGGATCAATTGCGCTCTGAAATTAAAAAAAAACACTTTTAAAAACATTTATTTTATTTACTACTTACCGTATGTGATTCGAGGAAAGCGGACACATTCTCTCTTTGTTTCTCATCGGCATAGGTACATTGAGGCTCTTCATATGCGAATCGTACCATTCCGTTGGCTGTGTAAGCAGCTGACTGTTCCACGAGTTTCTTCATAACCTCATCTGGGGTTTTCCAAAATGCAGCGGGTTTTCCAATAAAAACATCAATTTTGTTCGTTCCATCATCCTCTTGATAATCTTCTGCTGCACCGATTTCTTCTGATCCCCATTCAAACTTATATTCCTCCATATTGAATACTTCTACATTTTTTTTTGGTGCCCGCCTTGTGGTCAACCTCCCTTTCTTTCCTTTGCGTTTTCTCTTCTTCGGTGGCACAAAAAATTCCTCAGAATCTTCCACGGGGTCTTGATCATTCTCCATTTGAATGACGACCTCTTCTCGTTGAACGCCGCCTTCTTCTTTTTCTGGCATCGCATCAAGATCTTTGTGTTGAGCTTCAAAATCATAAAGTTCATTTCCTATAGCCGGTTGATTATGAGGAAGTTCATCAGTTCGGTGGTCAGAAGAATCCATTATTGGTGCATCGGTCCTTTCTTTATCTACTACAATAGCTTTAGCCTCGGGGGCGGTCGAAACGCTATCTGAATAATTTGAAGAAATTCCTGGAGTGGTTTCCTCACGTTCAATCGGCTTTTGAGCTGAAAAAAATTTGATAAGAAATCCAGGTGTATTGTATTATGTTTTCCTTGTTTATTTTGGCGTAAAAGTTAAAAATTCAGTATTTCGGGGTCGTTGGGAAGCGACGTTAAGAAAACCAATGGTTTAACTAAACTTGAAAATTCAAATTGACTGTTTTAGTCAGTCTTATGGACGTTAGTTTTGAACAATAGTTTCATTACTCTCATTGTCGTGGAATTTGTAGACATTGTGATTTAGATCTTATCTGATTCATATCTCACCGGAACTTCTGTTGTCAGAAAAATCCATTGATGACGCATCGGCCACTTTTTCATCTACTACATTAGCTTCAGCGTCTTCAGGGGTCGGCGAACTGGTACTGGGAATATTTGAATGTATCGCTGGAGTAGCTCTCGGGCTTTGCTCTAGTTCAATCCGTACTTGAGCTGAAAAAATTCAATGAGAAATGCAAGCTAATACTTTTTAATAGCTTGACTTATAAATTTTTGTCCATTTTGGCGTAAAAGTTAAGAACTTCGTTATTTGAGTTCTTACTAGGGAAGGTTGTAATCGCGGGGTGGAACTTCGGTATGAGACCTATATCATTCGAAAGCTGAGAATGAGTCATTTTCAAATCTATATTCAGATTTTGCTAAAGAGCTACCAGTTTCGAGAAAAACAAGTTTCAAATTTTGGCTCAAATTTGACCCCTAAGGGCGCCGCGCCTCCCCTCTTTCTTATATGGATTGAGGAAAGGGAAAGAAACAGCGAGCAGTGGTGTAGTGGCAAGGAGGGATGAACGGTACTCAACCGGTTGTAGGTTCGATTCCCCTTCCCGTCATTTTTTTTGATTTTGTTTTTGGTTTTTGTGGCGATCTTCAAAGTGTTATGAACGCATTTTTTTCAAAGAAAAATTTCAATTGGATACTTTTTTTAAAACTTTTTGACAAGTTTCGAAAAGTACATAATCCATAGTTTGCAAATCTCTTGAAGAAACAAAACAAATCTTTCTTCAGTTCTTTCTTTCAAAATCTACAAAATTTGTTCGTTATTAGGGTTATTCAGTGATAAATCAATGATACGAGCAGGATAAAGCTTCAAGATCTTACTAAAAGATTCATTTTATCGTTTCTGTCCGTTTAGAATTTATATTAGCACTTTTGAAAAATTTTCGAAAAATAGTTGGAAAATGCCAAGGGGGTACCCCCATGGATATTTTTCTCCAAAAATTTGTTTTCTGTGAAATCGAGAAAATTTTGTCAGCTCATAGAGGAACATTTGAAATTGTGATTAAAATCAAAAAACTTCCAACAACTTTCACCAATCATCAAATTTCTTTCTTTCAAAAATCAAAATGTAGTTGGAATAATGCTTCAAAAAAAGTTTTTCAAAGCATATAACATAATTTTTTAAAAAGTTTTTAATTAAAAAGAATGATCCCATGTAATTTTAAAGCTTTTTTGAAAAAAAAATGTTCGCAAAAAAATCACCATGGGGTCCCCCTTTGCTTTTGCAATTTCTCAGATTTCGAACCTGATTTTTTCAAAACTGGTAGCTCTTTAGCAAAATCTAAAAATAGATTTGAAAATGTTTCATTCTCAGCTTTCGAATGATATAGGTCTCATACCGAAGTTCCACCCCCCGATTACAACTTTCCCTAGTTAGTATTGTTGGGTTTGGTACCACACCCAAGATACGGTTTTTGTTTAATCTGCTATTTTTTCGAATGCGTTCGAAAAACCAATTTTTAGCTAAATTTGAGAAACTCAGATCGATTTTTTCTTTCAGTCAAAACGGCATTAGTTTCGAACAAACTTATCATTTCTCTCACTGTTATAGAATTTGTAGTTATTGGGACCTAAACCTAATCTGATTCAAATCTCGCCTGGACGGGTTACAATAAATACTCTGTCACAAATTACAAATATAACATCTCTCCAATTGATTTACTAGTTTTTTCATAAAATATAACTGTTCTCCAAATTACAAAAAATGATTTAATTTGAGCTCTCAGAAATTTCAAAAATGAGAATTTTAAAAATACATTTTTCATCGATACTGGAATAAAAAGTGAGCTTCGAAATCAAAAAGATTGAATGAATTTCTTTCATACTCCCTGAGCTATGACTTTTTGATAATTTCCCGAAATTTGGGCCTGTGACTGATGAATCAGCCTAATATGAATGAATATAATAAACACACCTGAAAGGGGTTCTAAATCTTTCTGAAGGCTTCCAACATTTGAGGCTAAGGACTTATGAATCAAACTAATATGATTAACTTAAACTCACTCTTTGCTTGTCTCTCTGTTTCAGCTCTCTCTGCTTGAGCATCCAATGGTTGGGCAAAGTCATCATTTTGAGGGGGAAGATAACTGTCGCGGCCATCATATTCGCAGCGCTTTGGAAATTTCGTCAACGTCTGATCGGGTTCCGTTGACGGCACATGTGGGCGCTTGACTCTTGATTTGGCTGCCTTAGTCTCCTCTGAAAACAGATTGATTGTATTGGACTGCAATAAATTAATAGAAGAAAGTTAATTACCTTTAACAACCACCGGTTCAACAACAACCGAGTTCTTGTCAATCGGCGATTGTGAAACCGCCGGTACAGCTTCAATCGTGATTGCCAATGGTGTGATTTCTTCTCCATTTTGCTCTTCGGATTCCTCCTGTTGACCTTCGCTTAAGTCTGATGTTAAAGGTGGCTTATTTTGAACAGGTGTCCTCCCTGAAAAACTTTTTATTTTAATAATTAAAATTATATTGAAGTGCATCAATTTGATAGGGAAAAAATGAATTACCTCCTCCAACGACCGGTTCAACAACAACCGAGTTCTTGTCAATCGGCGGTTGTGAAACCGCCGGAACAGTTTCAATCGTGATCGCCAATGGTGTGGTTCCTCCTCCACTTTGCTCTCCCAATTCCTGCTCTTCACCTGCACTCACATCTGGTTTTGAGATTGAAAAGTTTTCAACAGGTGAGACGACAGTTGAAGGTAGAACTACTTCTGGCACAGAGTCGCTGGAAACACGTTTTGATGATATTGACCGCGCTTCGAGTTTCTCTTGCAACTGTTTGATAGCAGAGTGAAGAGTTTCGTTGACTTGAGATGCCTCCACATTCTGACTGATTTCATTGATTGCAGTGACAATTTCGTTCTTATGTTCTTCTAGCTTCCGATTTTGCATTTCCATCAGTTTGCGCAAATCAGCTTCATCCGAAATCGCCTTCGCTTCCAATTGATGTTTGATTTCTTGGACAACACAGGTTGAATTGATGACTGTTTGTTCCAAACTCGATTGTTTTTCAAGGATTTTATTCGAATCAAACGCTTCCAAATGTTGATTGATTTTTTCGATACCGCCTGCTGACGTGATAACAGCTTGCTCTATTCTCGAGTACTTTTCTTGAAAATTGTGTGAATCAAACATTTGAATATGTTGTTTGATGGCTTCAACATCGGCATTCGACTTGGTGATTGTTGCTTCCAGACTCGAATGATTCTCCAAAGTTTTGTTCGAATTCTCAAGAAGTTTCTCCAGCACCGACTCCATTGACCCGGTTCGAGTATTAATTGAATTCACCTCGGAAGACACGTTTGAAATCTGACCATGAAGCTTCTCGACATCTTCCGAGAGTTTCACAATAGAGATCTTCTCATCCACGTCGTCCATCAAGCTTTTTCCAGTGCTCTGACAAACCTCTAGCGTTTTCCTCAACTGCAAAAGCTGTTCCATTTGGTTCATTGGCTGGGTCCTCGAATTGGAAGGCACTTGCGACCTTCCTAATGGTGGATCGTTCATCGTTAGGCAGTGTGCAAATCCAACGGCAAAATGAAGCTGCAGGAATTTGACCAGTGCTGAAATAACTGTTTTTATAAAATTTGCTGTTATCTTTGAGAACGAATGACTTAGTTGAGAAAACATTGAAAAAAAGAGGGAGGAAAAAAAAAGAGAAGACACGTATAATGTGATGGACTATTTAAAACATTTGTTCTATTTGGACCACGAAAGTCTATTCCGAAAAGAGCAAGAAAATACTGAATAGAAAGACGAACCATAAGGAAATATGGGAGAAGAAATTGGGGAGGTGAATAGTTAGATGTCTAGGTGAGAAAAAAAAAAGATTAGTGCTCTAATCAAGGTCAAAGAAGATTATCGTCATCATTCTTTTAATAAGTTTTCCAAAGGAGCTCTTCGTTTTCACCAAGGCTGGGTTACGGACGGCTGCTGCGTTTTAGATAGGACACTTCTGTGATAGGTAGGATACGACGGCTTATTAGTTTCTGAGTCCCAGAGCTCATTTCCGAAAGAGCGGACTGATAAGTCCTCGGCAACGGCCGGTTTCAAATTAGTGATATGAAAATTAAGATTGAGACAGCGAAATCGTGCCGTAGGCGCACCAGCCAGATTTTTTGAAGAGTTGGAGGCGGAGCCAACAGACTCTCGCAATAGTCACTAAGCGAAGAAACCCAAGGAGACACACTTTGAAGCTCAGATAGGAATCGAAATCTATGAGAGGCTTTTTAAAAGTTCATTCAATTTTTTTTGTTTTCTCAACTTCTTACAAGCTGAAAATTCAGCAGTTCTTCGTGAATATTTTTAATGATACTTGAATCAAAAACCACCATTCTGATTTCAGGGCGATATAACTGGCAAACGCGAGAAAGGTTGAATGATGTTGCCCATGAACTAGAGGCTTGAACTCTAGTTGCTCAACTTTGTACCTCGAAATTTCTTTGTACCGTAATGACCGCAACATCTTTGCACCATCTGAATTGTTTGCCCTGTTTTCGTTCTATGTTCCTTATTCACAATATGTTTACTTGTGATCCGGGATTTTGCCGGGTCTTGCGGGACCTGTCATAGCTCCTTTAGAATCAATATATCACTATTTGGAGAGCTTTATTTTGTCGATAAACAAAGTTACAGATGAAACGGAACGAAAATAGGAGGGCCCCGCAAAGGCCCGACAAAAGTCCGGATTACAAGTGCAGAATTATTTACTTTCCAGACCTTAGCTTTAAAGGAGGCCAGACACCAAAAAAACGTTTTCCTGATATTTTGCATAGAGAACCCCCATGAGGGGTTGAACTCATGACAGGCAGGGGTACAACGCCGCTACCGGCTGAGCTACGGGGGCGCGAAGGCGCCTGACGACCGATGGTCTACATAAGCGCGGCGCGATTCCTTCCCCCGAACTGCCCCCGAAGTTTTTGCTGTCTCGCCTTTTTTAATAACTTTTTTTCTGTGTGCAGATTCAGTTTTGTTCGCTCCCAAAACACGTTTCAGAAAATCGGAGAAATAACAGTAACAGATGTAATTCAACCACGATAGACAAGTGAGGACGATTATTTGGTGAAGACGATCACATTCGAAGTATCTGAACAGAGGCACGAAGAGCATCAGACAGTGGGGTTTGCAAGTCAAACATACGTTGCATCCGAGCTTTCAGCTTATTGTGAACCGGGCAGATCTTTTTTGCAATAAAACCAACAAAAAACATATTATTCTTGGAGCATTGCTCTTTTCATCGAGAGACTGTAATTTTTCGTGCTAAATAACCAAGACGGAACAAAATGGATCATATTTCCTGGAAACATAAAAACTGGTAGATGTTATACCTTTAAACGCTAGCCATGCAAAAAATTCGGAAGATACCAAAATTTTGGGGTCATTGAGGTACTAAAAAAATTAGGGGTACAAAACACCTGAAACATTTAAATTTTGTACCTCCGAATTGCGGATTATGTATCCCTGAATCACTTTGTTCCCCTTTGTACCTACAAATCGTCGCACCCTCCGAATTATGTGTCCGCTAGCCGCGACAACACGAGAAAGGACAAAATGAACAAGATGAGCAGACTGACAACACAGCTACATCAGAAACAAAACACCATCCAATGTGGTCTCATGCAATTGAAATAACTTCATCATGCAAAAAAAAATCATCAACGAGACTTTTGAAAGGGCAAATTATTTAGAAGAAGTTTAAAAATTCCTTCGTACTCATGCGTTCAGATGAAAGCCCATCATCCCGTTGTCTCTAAATAAGAATAGAATATAGGAGTGGATAAAGCAGAAATTAATGAAAACGAGAAGAGTAAAAAAGAAAACGTGTGTTACGCGTCGCTTTTTTCCTTTACTGTGAAGAGAAGCAGAAAGAGATTTTAGGGAATAAAAGGTTTTTCGATGTGTGTGCTGAGTGATAACATTACTACGAAAAGCAGAAACGAGTGATGTAATGAGAAAATTGAAGACCGAAAATTAAAAAATGAAGAAATAGCCCTATTGAACGGCTTCTAATAAGGAGAATTGTACTTGTCCCGCGCGTAACAATGCTAGTCTTATGCTATTCTATGGCTATGAAGGATCTCGTCATCCATTAAAAAATCGAGAGATAGAAAGAAATCCATTTGTAGCTTCATTTTCTTTCGAAAATCCGGTTGTGTTCCTGAAAAAGCAAATCATATTGATTTTCTGCCGGACGGTACAACTCAAAAATATGTAATACGAACATCATATCACCTCAAGAAGTGAGATAAAAAAGTTTCAAAAAAAATTGAAATAATAATCACCATTTGTTTATCGAAGATAATGACTATGTATGGTTAAAGAGTTTAGGCAGGAATTTTGAGAATTTTGAGAATTTCAATACACAGTAATATTGGTGGGAAGAGATCATCAAGGAAACAATTTGACAGTTTGACTAGGCTGCCAGTTGTCAATATAGATTCACAATAAATTAATTTAAATTTGGTATAGAAAACAAACTGAGAAGGGAAAGAAACTTGAGATAAATTGAAAAATAGAGACCTATTGAGCATTTTAAAACAATGTAATTAGTAAAGATGACCAGGAGTTCGGATAATGACTAGAAGTCCTGATGGTTTTGTATGTACACAACGGTAGTAGCAATAACAACAATAAAATACTAAGCTAGGTATGCAACTTTTGAGTTGTTATTCGTGGCGAGGACACTGGCTGGCACGTATTTCAAGTTATCGTAGATGGCGAGAAGATCGTCAAATGTGTATTGTTGGAGAGCGATGAAGTCCTCGAGTCCTTGTCTGGAAAAAAATGAATAGTTAAGAAGTGGGATGACATAGCTAGGCGAAAATTGCCAGCACTTTTTTCGGTCTAATATAGTGCCCAGAGTCATGTCTTCTTTTTTCGGACTTTGGATCTCTATGCGACTCTTCTCCCCATATTCCTATTACCGTAAGACCTGTATTAAAAGAACCGTCCCTCCTTCTGTTTCAAGGTACCTCCGGATTGCCCTTCTATTACAGTGATCCTTCAGTTCGAGGGAGCCTTTCCAATTTACCGGCTATTTTTTTTATCTGTTTTAACATATGCCTGTGGAATTTTGAAGTTTCTTAAATATTTTTTACTGAACCATATGTATTTTCAAAAATTTCAAACAACATACACAGGTAAAATGCGAACGGGTCCGTTACGTACGCTTCGCGTTCGCACGCGGTTGAAATAGGAACCGCATACGGACCTCACGCAAACCGGTTTCAGTAAATAGAAGTACATTATTCGGATTGATCCGTATCCTGTCCGTTCGCGAGCTCCGTATCC